TTTTTTAAAACAACATTTCCCACTGTTGTTCACTGTGGTTTGTTGTTGTCTGAAGTCATGAACGTTAGTTGGTGCTCCAGTATAATCGGTACGCCTGAAACTCATCCAGTGAGAAACGTTCCGCGGTGCAAAAATAAGTGCGATTAAAATGCGTTAATTTTTTTAACGCGTTAATTTTTGTGTAATTAATTAATCTTAATTAACGCGTTAAAGTCCCGGCCCTAATATATATATATGGAATTGTGTATATATATATATATATATATATATATATATATATATATATATATATATATATATATATATATATATATATATATATATACACACAATTCCAAAGCTGGTAAGGACTCTTTCAAATTTAGCAATAATAGTCTGAAGAAAAGGACTGATAACAGAGATTTGCTCTAATATGTATTCAGTATGATAGGCTCTGTCTTAACCCCAAATAATAAAACACAAAAGTCTTCATTCTGTCAGATGCAAAAGTCTTCATTATGTAATAAAACACAAAAGTCTTCATTCTGTCAGATGCAAAAGTCTTCATTCTGTAATAAAACACAAAAGTCTTCATTCTGTCAGATGCAAAAGTCTTCATTCTGTCAGATGCAATGCAAATCACCGTTTGTCACATGTAAAAACTCTGCAAATCACCGTTTGTCACATGTAAAAACTCGCGAATGCGCAATGCATATTTTGTCACATGTAAAAACTTGCGAATGGTTCAGACGGTCTAGATGTCAATTTTGTCCTACTTGGATTGCCGTCCGGCGTTGTCCAATATGGCGGACCATCTCGCACATGCGCACAGCAGATCGGGCAGAGCTGCAGATCGGGTAGTGACAGTCAGTACCAGATATGTTCGGGCTACCAGATATGTTCGGGTGTATTTCCGTCGCATCCGTCATCCGTCATATTCGTCATATTTTACGGCAACTCAAGAGGGCCATCACGGTCAAATTCCGAACATTTAAACATAGCCGACACTTCATTCTTTACTTTGTCCGTTATTATATGTAGAAGATTATACCTTTTCTCCGTCATGTTGTTTCCTTAGCAACAACTTCAAACAGGCATAGCCTACACTTCATTCTTTACTTTGTCCGTTATTATATGTAGAAGATATTAATTTTTTCTCCGTCATGTTGTTTCCATAGCAACAACTTCAAACAATAACAACTAACCGCTAGCCGCAAAGCTAGCATCACAGCCACTGCTCCGTTTTCGGAGACTTTGCACACGTTTTTCACAAACATTTTCACACGCTAGGAGTACTTCCACTAGCTTCGTCTTGATCTGTAGATGTGATTTGATGTGTCGTGTGTCCCCCAACTCCTCTCCAAATTTCAGATATTTAATAAAATACTCAGGGGAGTTTCCTGAATTTTCATGCCCAAAACTAAGCACTAGGCCCTGGGTAAATTAAGAGGCTGATCTCGGGCACTTTTGTCCACTTTCCCTGGTGGTCGAAACTCAAGCCAGACATCCCTGGAATCGTCTCAGAGAGTAGATGATCAGTGGGGCCTTGTTTTTACTGAATTATGTGTTTTTTTATGGAGAATTCAAATATGAGCTTATTTTTAGGATTTTCGGAGACTTTGCACACGTTTTCACAAACATTTTCACGCTAGTATATAGAGTATGGGAGTACTTCCATTCGCTTCGCCTTGATCTGTAGATGTGATTTGATGTGTCGTGTGTCTCCCAACTCCTCTCCAAAGTTCAGATACTATATAAAAATACTAAAAGGTAAATAAAACATTAAACATAATGACAAAATAACAACCTGAAATATATGTATTCTATCTACACATTTCGTAATTATCTAATCTAGTGGCCTTATAAAAGTGTTGGCTAAAGTAACGCAGAATATATATATTTTTTTAATTGTAAATAATTATAAACATTATTTATGTACACAAGTACATGGGACCCCACCATAGCACCCCACACATAACAAGCTGTCCCGAGTTCCTCCGGCTGCAGTTCCGCAGACGGCCGGTGTGTGGCAGCAGAGCGCTGGGAGCAGAGGGAGGTGAGTATATGACGGATATGACGGATGCCGGATGCGACGGAAATACACCCGAACATATCTGGTAGCCCGAACATATCTGGTACTGACACCGGGCTCGGATTTCCAAGTATGCTGGAGATTGGAACAGTAGGCTACTTCGGCGGCACTCGATGACGTAGTATGCTTGAAATAGTGGCTCTGCAGCAGCTTTACTCGCGATTGAGAAACACCCGGGGTCTCGTTCTTTTCTTTGGGAGCTGCTCTTGTAGGAAGGTAGATTATGGTACAAAATGCGAGAGCGTATATAAAACCTGATGTGAGCACTTGCAGAAAAAAAATCTGAGCTTGTGTGCATACATTTACACTTGTATAAAATATCCACGTATCTGTGAACCAAATTTGAAGTCACAGAAGAAAAAATAAAGTTTTGTAGCTTGTAGAAAAATATGAACTTAGTGATGAAATGTTCACTTATATATTTTCCATTACAACTGCAACTTGGTTAATACAACCTCTCAAATCAGTCATTACAACTTCACGAATCTGCTCTGTGGCAGTATAAATCGACGAATCTGCGGCCTTGACTTTTGCTACACTTCTTGCAATGAAAGTGTCGCAAAAGTAATTTTCACCTAGATGTGGGGGGAGGGAAGGGGCGGAGCTATCAGTTATCAATCTAAGGCTGAAGTCGAATAGTCCATTTAGCTTAGGAACCTTCCTAACGGAGTGAAATGACCCGGAAGTCCCTCAGTGGCAGCCATGATAAGTGCCGTTCGAATTCTCTCAAATGGGGGTACGCGGACCCCTAGGGGTACGTTGGGGTACTGCAGGGGGTACGTGAGATTTAAAAAATAAATAAATAAGTTAATTAAAAAAATACCATGCATGATTACTAAAATAATCTTAGTACAATAAGTTAAATAGAAAACACAATTTTATATAAAATATTCCTAGAACCTCATAAACATGTAAAATTGGTGTATTGTATTTTATAGTTTTGCATAATATATCATTTTGTTCATTGGTTTGTTAAACAGATATTACTTCAGTTGAAAAACTCCTTTGAAAAATCAGTTTACATTTTTTTTCTTTTTTCATGCATAAAATTGATTTTTAGACAGAATAAACTTTTTTCAGAATTAAGGTCCCATGGAGGTCCTCCGGAAAGGGAGGGACTTCGCCTCTCTATTTCTGGGCTGCAGGCTGCAGTCGAATAGTCCACAAATCAGCTCCTAAATTCTAACCCTATCGTCTATTCCTTGACCTCTGAGAGAAACGTCAAGGGGTTAAGGGATAGTGAATGGGAGAATTCAAAAGGATTTAGGAGAAGAGACTGCTGCGGTACTTTAGAGAATCCGACTGCACTTTCACTATCCGACGTGTTTATGATGCGCCAGCGGACGTCATTTTGTGCGTCTGCTGCTGTGGGGAAACTATGGAAACTAGGGTTGCGGTTGGATAATCCAAAAATCAGCTCCTATCGTCTATTCCTTAACCTGAGTGAAACGTCACGGGGTTAAGGGATAGTCGATAGGAGAATTCAAAAGGATTTAGGAGAAGAGACTGTGGTACTTCAGAGAATCCGACTGCACTTTCACCATCCGACGTGTTTATGATGCGCCAGCGGATGTCATAAATGTGCGTCTGCTGCTGTGGGGAAACTATGGAAACTACAGTTTTCTATACAGCGGACTACAACATGGATGTTTAATAAGAACGAGGGACTACTGTAAACTCAGAGACTCTGCACCGTGCTCTGATGCTGTTGTTTTATGCTTTATGAACGTGGACAACAGAGAAACATATTCTTCATGACCAAAGTTGGAATTGAAATAAAAAAGGAAAGTGAAACTTATGCTCGTCACCCTCTCCCTCTGGTCCACATTAATACAAATTATCCCAATATGTATGATTGTATGAACTAAAGATCTTAAAATACAAATGTATTTATTATAAACGTTAGTCCTTAACATCTATCACTGTGTATATCACCATTCAAACATCTTTTAAAAGTTTAACAAACCCCAAACAGCTCAGTAGACTGTGAGATGTTGACTTTATTTGATCATTTCAGTAAAAACTAACGTTCATATTTCTCTTTTTTATTATAATACTGATGAACGTTCAAAACAAAGCACTTTGGCAACTTACCACATACGTTTTAAAATGCTTAATAAGCACCGTAACTTTCAAGATATAATTTCTCGGTCATAATCGGTTGTTTCCGTGAACGGCCGACTGTTGTGTCACGGCAAATGCTGCGGCTGCAAGGCATTGTGGGGCAGCATTTTCTCCTCTCCTTTCGGTTAGGGAGGTCCAGTGGTTCCTAAGCTAAAGGAGGTTACAAAAAAGGAAGTTTGAAACCTCCTTTCCTATCATCCAGAGCCGTATACGGCTCTGCTATCATCTAGAGATTTCGAGCGGCACTTATCATGGCTGCCACTGAGGGACTTCCGGGTCATTTCACTCCGTTAGGAAGGTTCCTAAACTAAATGGACTATTCGACTTCAGCCTCCAGTTTTCTATACAACGGACTACATGGATGTTTAATAAGAACGAGGGACTACTGTAAACTCATCTAGAGACTCTGCACCGTGCTCTGATGCTGTTGCTTTATGCTTTATGAACGTGGACAACAGAGAAGCATATTATTCATGACCAAAGTTGGAATTGAAATAAAAAAGGAAAGTTAAACTTATGCTCGTCACCCTCTCCCTCCGGTCCACATTAATACAAATGATCCCAATACGTATGATTGTATGAAAAGATCTTAAAATAAATACAAATGTATTTATTATAAACGTTAGTCCTTAACACCTATCACTGTGTACATCACCATTCAAACATCTTTTTAAAAGTTGAACAAACCCCACACGGCTCAGTGAAATGTTGACTTTATTTGATAATTTCAGTAAAAACTAACGTTCATATTTCTCTTTTTGATTATAATACTGATGATCGTTCAAAACAAAGCACTTTGGCAACTTACCACATACGTTTTAAAATGCTTAAAAAGCACCGTAACTTTCATGATATCATTTCTCGGTCATAATCGTTTGTTTCCGTGAACGGCCGACTGTTGTGTGACGGCAAATGCTGTGATAGGGAAATTGTAGTAGTGCCGTTTGGCCACCACGAATTTGTTCCTCAGAGTCCGGCGCACTTCCTGGGGGCCCGCTGCTATACAACACCACGAAGAAGAAGCAGCAGCAAATATAATCGGTAACATAACATTCTAAAATGGAGGAAGCTGGCTTGATTACGCGCATGTTTTGACTATTTCCTAGCAAAAATCGTTTTGCATATATTTGTATACACTCGTGAAACAAACAAGACGACGGTTGTGTGTCTTAAACCGGTTGTGTTTTCAGGAAGTTAACGAGGAGTGTATTCTATCGGTGCTCGGCTGAGAGCTAGCTCGAGAACAAAACAACAGGTAAGCTACGGTTTTTTGCTAGCATTGCATGTATTAAAACGAATCAATCAATGCCCAATATCACAAATGTTACATTTGTCTCAGTGGTCTTCACAGTTTGTACAGAATATCAGAGAGAGAGAGAGAGAGAGAGAGAGAGAGAGAGAGAGAGATCGACGAGAGAGAGAAGAAGAGAGAGATAGAGAGTAGATGAGAGAGAGTAGCAGAGTAGAGGATAGGAGAAGACTCTATCTAGTATGCCGACGATCTCTCTCCTCTCTCGCTCCTCTCTATCTCTCGCTCTCTCTCTCTCTCTCTCTCTCTCTCTCTCTCTCTCCTCTCGTCTTCTCTCTCTCTCTCTCTCTCTCCCGTCTGGGCTCTCTCTCTCTCTATCTCTGCCGCTCTCTCTCGTCCTCTCGTCTCTCCTCTCCGCTACTCGTTCTCGCTCTCTAGCTCTGCTCTCTTCTTCCTTCTTTCTCTTACCTCTTCTGTCCCTTCCTCTAGCTCTAACCAAAATGACTAGTCTTATTGGGTCCTGTACTTAAGTAAAAATAAAAAAAGAAGTCGAAAACTCTGCTGCAAGTGTAAATTCTGTATTGAAAATGTTACTTAAGTGAAAATACAAAAATATAAGCATCAAAGTATGATGTTTGTCAATTTAAAAGATAATTTTGTGTGTGTGTGACAAGAGCTATACTCAGAGCTCTGCTGCCTTGGCTACAATCTTTCATCGTTGCTGTTGTATGATATAGTAAGAAATAAGATATAAAATCAGTGTAAAATAAGCAGCAAGAGCAAAGCATAAAGTGGGATAAAATAATGCAGATATATATATATATATATATAGTAATCCCAACAGGCCACCTTGTTTATGGTTTGATTCAGTTTTACATTACATTTATTTGATAACTTCAGTTAACTTTGAAGATTCCGAACACTACAAAATATAATCAAGACATATTTTATCATGTATTATAGTAGAAATAGTTTGAGTAGTTTTTAGTAGAAATATCCCTTACAATAAAGGCAGTATAGTATGCCCGTATGTCATCTCCAATAAATGGCTTCAACCATCCTTTAAACTCAGGGTTTGATTCCCACTCCTTTCTGTACTTTTATGAATACAGTTTAGACTGTGACATGATGACCTACGTGGATGTTTAGCTTGTCACAGAGAGGCACACACACAGTGGACGAGGTGATTAAGTGACTGAAGCTGTCTCGACGAGGGAGAGTGTGGCTGTCTCCTCTCTGCTCTGACTGCAGCTGAGCTGCTGCGGGAGGCAACTGTGAGTCTGCGCGCCTGTCAGTACTATGGGAGGGCTGAGGGGCTCACGGCAGCTCGTTAACTGCAGAACAATACGTGAGTCTCCAAACACCAGAAAAGTCCCTAATAACACCATTACAAGTCGTTAGATCAGTCGTTAGTCGCTTTTGACAAAAAGAAGTAGCCGGAGGGTTTGGAAAGCCGCCAAATATAACGTCAAAGTCGCCAAGTTGGCAACACTGGTCTGTGTGACTTCTTAAATCGTTTGTTTACGTCCCTCACTTCCGTTTCGCTTCTGATTCACTAGCTGAACAGCCAATCAGAGTGATTGCTTGGTCCGACTGCCTGACCCGATTCAACATGTTGAATCGGCCATGCATCGGGTCAGGCAGTCCAAATAAGGCGTGTCACGGCATACGGTGAGGGGTACACCAACCTGACTACGGCGCCGCAAATGCCCGACAGCCTCTGACGGCCTCTGACTCCCAAAATCGGGTTGGTGTGTCAGGGCCTTTACTGTACTGGTTACTTTGCAGCCCGGACATTTCCCCAAAAACACATTTTAGACGAGATCGCAACACAGAAGTACCTTTCAAATCCGATCATTATTAAAACCTTCTAAATAAGTGGTCGCCAACCAGTCGATCGACCGGTCGATCGCGAGTGTGGTGCGGGTAGATCGCGGACCGTTAAAAAAAAAAAAGTAACAAAATAAATACAAATAAAATTAAAATAATAATATTTGAAAAATAGGTTTTTAGGTGTAAACCTATCATCGACGTATATTTGAGACACCTCAATAATATAATACATTAACCGTGCTTTACGTGAACCTCATCCTGACTAGGGTTGGGAACCGAAACTCGGTTCCAGATGAGAACCGATAAGAAAATGCCGGGTACCGGGTACCCGTACAAAATACACCTTTTCGGTTCTGCTTAACGGTTCCTAAACGCGGTAGACCCTGTATTCCAGCGGGTCCGTCTGTACCGCGGCGACCCGGTGGAATACAGGGCGGACCTGGAGAATCACAGAACGGCCGGTCGTCAGCGGGCCGTTGACGGCCGGCTCGGTACACTGATGGCCGGCACCGCCCTTAATTTTTTTAAACGGCATCATGTAAGTTGCGCTGACAGGCGACAGAGGTCCACAGTTGCCCCGCAGCGAGGCTCCCCCCGCCCTCCCGTAGACAGTTCACGAGCTCAGTCACTTCATAACACCAAAGATGGGTCGCGGTAAACGCTCTGAAGTGAGGCTCCACTACACTAAAAAATAAAAAGACAATTGGGCACAGTGTTAATAGCTTGCCACAGGCATAGCTCAGTTAAAATAAAGCACAGCTATTGTGCAATACATTTGTATTGCATGTATATTTTTTATTTGTAACAATTTCAGTTAAAGCTGAAAAGAATAAAGATATTTTTGTTATCTAAACGTTTGACCTCTTTCTTTTACAATTTTGGAATCGAAACGGGGAATCGATAAGAACCGGAATTGATAAGCAGAACCGGAATCGGAATCGGAATCGATAAATTTCAAACGATACCCATCCCTAATCCTGACACAAGAGAGGACGGCAGGACTGCAATTTCCCGTGTTCAGTGAATGCAACAGAGGCAAGTCACCAGACCAATCAGAGAGTTGCATGGAAATACACGTGTGCTTGTTCTAGGGCTGCACGATATTGAAAAAAACTGACATTGCGGTTTTTTGTTCCCCTGCGATTATATATTGCGGTTTTTTTAACCTGGTAAGCCCCAAGGTCCCGGTGGGTACTTTACTTTTTTTTTTTCACGACACTGTGTCTCAGGGGATCTTAATATTTAAGAACCTATTAATGTGTTATACCAGATTAACGGGAATAATCTCAGCTAACTGACGATACAAACAATTTTTACCAAAACATAACACAAGTCTCATAAGAAGCATCTAAATGACCCCTGAGCGAAAAATGCTAACGGACTTTGGCACAGAACTCAAGATAAAAGTACCCTTATTACTTATCGTAGCTGCACATACAAGATATCCGATTAAAGCTGAGGTTCCACAGATTATTTAGGTATATAGTATCATCTCTCTCCCCCGTCTGTGTGCGAGGGGGCGGGGCAGTTTACACACACACAGCTGCTACATGCAGCGGAGCACACTGCGGAGATGGCGGAGAGAACGCGCTTCGAGGTGTGGTTAAACTTTACCTGTCTCGATGTGGAGAATACTTGTTACCATAAGTGCAATAAGAGTTTAGCAGGTAAGCACGAGCAATTTGTCTAAACATTTAGCAAAAGTGCACCGCATGCAGACGGAGGAATGTACCGGGTTCGACTGTCTCTCTAGTAGCTCTGTAGCCCCATCCACGAGTAACGTTTCCACGTCAGGTGTTATGTATGCTAGCAGCAACACACGGAGTTAACTACATGATACAAACATGGGTTAATGATTAGAGGTAACTGAGTTATTTAGTTTGTTAAAATTTCAGCTATTCTGTTTACAGTCTGTCATCAGATTATTTAATACGATTTGTTAAAGGCTCAGGGCAATCTCGATGACAAAGGTCAATGTTCCCCCCCCCTGTGAGCCAGCCGCGAGCATGGTCGGCGCGTCTTTATTACGTCATCACAACAACACGTTAGGTTACCAACGTAAACCTGTTCTGACATTCGGTGATATTTTTTCGGTGCTAAAACCCTTTCGGCCAAAAGCCGAAAGGGCCTTTTTAACCATTTTCGGCCGATAATTTTCGGTGGCCGAATATTCGGTGCATCCCTAGTTATAACAAAGGTTTTCATTCACTAATTTCTGCAGCTCTGGAACAAAATCATCTTTGCTGTAAATCTTTTTTGTTGCAAGGCACAATTTCACCCATGCTTTTTTTCTTTTCAGAAAACATGTCTGACTCTCCATGTGAGTCTGTTCCCTCCACAAGTGAAAGTCCCAACAAGGAGACACAATTGAAAGACAGCTGTGACCCTCTCAGTTTAATAAAAAACGCTGTGGTGGTCTTGACCCGACTCCCTGACTATAAGATCAGCGCTCTGCGACCACCGACGCCACAGCAGTTCTACAGTGAAGACGACTCCTGCAGTAGCTCTGACTCTGATATGCTGTGGGAACAAGACGATGATTCTAGTGATTCTGATTTCTCACTCTCAAACAACAAACGGAAAACTCAAAAAAAGAACTCCAGCAGAAACGACAATGGTAATTATTGCCACCTACATAAACACATATTTTAAATGGGCCTTTTCCAGGACATTTCTCTGAAAATGCTGTGACCAGCCATTCATATCTTAAAATCCTTCTAGCTCGTTGGTTTTAATTTACACATTTTTGTTTGTCACTGTTTCAGAACAAGCCCCTATAATAGTATCATCGGCTTTTGCGCATTGCTCCACTGAAACCACCAAGGTCCGTCCTAACTTGCCAGAAAAAGAGGTCGCAGTGGGCATGATGATCCTGGCCAAGAGGAAGACGATGAAATGGCAACGGGGAAAAATAGTGGATATCGTAACAAAGGGTAAGAAATTAGATTTTCAAGGAGCGAAATGTGCTCACACATAACACCCAGGTCTTTAATAATAGAGATATGCGGATTATTTGAAGATGGCTTTTATGAAGTGCTTATCCATAGTGAGTGTAATACTTATAGTACATTACGGTTGGCACGCAGACAGGAGTACCACCACAAGAGCAAAGCAATGAACTGAACAAAACGCAAAAAAATATATAAACGCAACACTTTTGTTTTTGTTCCCATTTTTCATGAGATGAACTCAAAGATCTAAAATCAATCAATCAATCAATCAATGTTTATTTATATAGCCCAATATCACAAATGTTTCACTTGTCTCAGTGGACTTCACAGTTTGTACAGAATATCAGTATGACAATACGACACCCTCTGTCCTTAGTCACATCGTACAAGGAAAAACTTCCGGAGAAAACCCACAGTTTAAAGGGAAAAATGGGAGAAACCTCAGGGAGAGCAACAGAGGAGGGATCCCTCTCCCAGGACGGACAGATGTGCAATAGATGCCGTGTGTAAATTGAAAAGATAATACATTTGCAACATAGGTAGTCCAAATGTTTGGAAATGCATGTGTCTTTAATAAGAAGATGAATCCACGAGGATATCCATCCAGGACCACAGCCACGACTCAAGATCCAGGGCTCGCGATCCAGGACACAGGACCGCAGGATCATCCATGACTCCGGATCCCGGCGTATATAGACACCAAAAAGAAAGACATTTGGGGAAGCTGGGTTAATCGGAACATGAGAGTACACAGGTATAGACAGAGAGAAGGAAGAAGTAAGATGTCCCCCGACAAACTAAGCCTATCAGCAAAACTAGGGGCTGAATCTAATCAGCCCTAACTATAAGCTTTATCAAAAAGGAAGGTCTTAAGCGCACTCTTAAAAACGGATAGGGTGTCTGCCGCCCGAACACAAACTGGAAGCTGATTCCACAAATGTGGAGCTTGATAAGAAAAGGCTCTGGCTCCCATTGTACTTTTAGAGACTCTAGGAACAACCAACAACCCTGCATTCTTGGAACGCAATGCCCTAATAGGACAGTAGGGTATAATGAGTTCTTTAAGGTAAGATGGCGCCTGCCCATTAAGGGCTTTGTAGGCGAGAAGAAGAATTTTAAATTCTATCCTGTGTTCTTTAGGGAGCCAGTGTAAGGCAGCCAGAACAGGAGTAATGTGGTCCCTTTTCCTAACTCTGGTTAGTACACGAGCTGCAGCATTTTGAATCAGCTGAAGCAACTTGACTGACTTCTTGGAACACCCTGATAATAAAGAGTTACAATAATCCAGCCTTGAAGTAACAAATGCATGGACTAGTTTCTCTGCATCGTTTTGAGGCAAGATATGCCTGATTTTTGCAATGTTACGTAGATGGAAATAGGTGGTCCTTGAAATTGATTTTATGTGGGCGTTAAAGGATAAATCCTGATCAAATATAACACCAAGATTCCTTACAGTCTCACTGGAGGCCAAATTAATGCCATCCATAGTTAGTATATCTTTAGATAATTTGTTTCGTAGATTCTTCGGGCCAAGTACAATAAATTCAGTTTTGGTCGTGTTTAACATAAAAAAATGTAAGATCATCCACGTTTTTAAGTCCTTGAGGCAGTCTTGAATTTTATTTAGATGATTAATTTCATCAGGCTTGATTGATAAATATAGTTGAGTATCATCCACATAACAATGAAAGTTTACAGAATGATTCCTTATAATATTGCCTAACGGAAGCATATATAATGTGAACAAAATAGGTCCGAGCACTGAGCCCTGTGGCACTCCATGGCTAACTTTGGTTTGCGTGGAAGATTTATCGTTGACACGTACAAACTGAGAGCGTTCAGATAGATAGGACCTAAACCAGCCTAAAGCAGTTCCCTGTATGCCAACTAAGTGCTCTAGTCTTTGCAATAGGATATCATGGTCGATAGTATCAAATGCAGCACTGAGATCGAGCAAAACAAGAATAGAGACAAGTCCCTTGTCTGAGGCTATTAGAATGTCATTTGTGACTTTAACCAGAGCTGTCTCTGTGCTATGATGTGTTCTAAAGCCAGACTGAAAATCTTCAAATAAATCATTGTTTTTTAAGTAATCACACAGCTGTTTTGCGACTGCTTTCTCAAGAATTTTTGAGAGGAACGGAAGATTAGAAATAGGTCTATAGTTGGCTAAAACCTCTGGATCGAGGTTGTGCTTTTTAAGAAGCGGTTTTATCACTGCTACTTTGAATGATTGTGGAACATAGCCTGATAATAAAGACATATTCATAATATTTAATAAAGAAGTACTAATTAATGGAAAAACTTCCTTCAACAACTTAGTTGGAATTGGGTCTAACATGCACGTTCATGGTTTAGAAGAGAGAATCATTGAATTTAATTGTTCAAGGTTTATGGCTGAAAAGCATTCTAGTTTACTATCTAGTGTAATATTAGAACTTGCGTTTCCGGGAGCTGTTGATAACACTATACTGGTTAAAGGCAAGAGGTCATTAATTTTGTTTCTAAGAGTACATAAAATCATTACTACTGAGTGCTATGGGAATAGAAGGCTCAATCGAGCTATGGCTCTCTGTCAGCCTGGCTACACTGCTGAAAATAAATCTTGCATTATTCTTATTCTCATCTATTAATGAAGAGTAGTAGGCTGCTCTCGCTTTACGCAGTGCTTTCTTATATTCATTGAGAGTAATATGCCAAATTAAACGAGATTCTTCAAGTTTAGTGGAACGCCATATCCTTTCAAGTTGTCTCGACTTTTGCTTTATTTTGCGGGTTTCGGCATTATGCCATGGAGCTAATCTATGTTGTTTTATTTTCTTCTTTTTCAAAGGAGCAACAGAGTCTAATTTTATTCGCAGCGCATCTATAGCACTATCAACAACATGATCAATTTGGGGTGGTGTACATTTTGTATAAGTTTCCTCCCTTACATGCTATCGAGTTAAGTATTGGTGGAATCTCTTCCTTAAATTTGGCTATAGCACTAACAGATAGGTTTCTGCTGCAGGAGCTTTTGACTAATGCTTTGTAGTCTAGAAACAGTACTTCAAAAGTTACTAAGACATGGTCGGATAAAGCAGGATTATGCGGTTCGCCTAATAGTTGCTCAATTTCAATACCATAAGTCAGAACAAGGTCGAGAGTGTGATTTATATTAGTGGGTTGGTTTATTTACACTCGGACAAAAACCAACAGAATCTAATATAGAGTTAAATGCAACAGTAAGGCTATTGTTATTATCGTCAACATGAATATTAAAGTCACCTACGATAATTACTTTATCTGTTTTAAGTACCAAAGTTGATCAAAACTGAGAATTCTGATAAGAATTCTGAATAAGGACCTGGTGCACGGTACACTGTAACAAATAAGATTGGCTGCAAAGTTTTCCAGGTCGGATGCGTAAGACTAAAAACGAGGCAAAGTAGGTATAATTTAATTTTGGTTTAGTATTGATAAGTAAACTTGAGTCAAAGATTGCTGCAACTCCACCTCCTCGGCCCGTGCCTCGGGCAATATGAGTATTGATATGGCTGGGTGGAGTGGCCTCATTTATGCTGACATATTCTTCATGTCTCAACCAAGTTTCAGTGAGACAGCATATATCAATATTATAATCTGATATTAAATCATTTACCAATATTGCTTTAGATGCTAGAGATCTTATGTTTAAGAGACCACATTTAATCTTCCTGTTTTGTTGCACTGTAGTAGTTGTTACATTTACTTTTATTAGGTTATTATGTATGACACCTCTATTAGGTTTTACCTTAAATTGTCCTTGGGTAGACACACATACCGCTAATATTGGGTATTTTATTGGGTTCGGGATTCCTATGGATGACTGCCTAGGAGAGAGCGCAGAGAAGCGTGTAAGACTGCGACTCCGCCTCCTGGTCTCAACTCCAGTTTGTCATGGATTAAGTCCACAATGCCCTGAAATGTTTGCCGAAATGAGATTTGCACCTTCCAAAGTAGGATGAATGCCGTCTCTCTTAATCAGACCAGGTTTTCCCCAGAAGGCTATCCAATTATTTACGAAGCCCACATTGTTTGCTGGGCACCACCAAGACAACCAGCGCTGAAATGATGACATGCGGCTATACATGTCATCATTGATCAGATTGGGGAGGGGACCAGAGAAGATTACGGTGTCCGACATTATTTTAGCATAACTACACACTAAAACAATTTCTATATACACAAAATAACCATTTCTCTCAAATATTGTTCACAAATCTGAAAAAATCTGTGATAGTGAGCACTTCTCCTTTGCCGAGATAATCCATCCCACCTCACAGGTGTGGCATATCAAGATGCTGATTAGACAGCATGATTATTGCACAGGTGTGCCTTTGGCTGGCCACAATAAAAGGCCACTCTGAAACGTGCATTTTTGCTTTATTGGGGGGGGGTCTGAAAACCAGTCAGTATCTGGTGTGAGGGGTAGGGTTAGGGTTGGGGTTAGGGTAATGTTGTGAATCGAGTGGCCCATGGTGGTGGTGGGGTTATGGTATGGGCAGGCGTATGTTATGGACGACGAACACAGGCCACTCGATTCACAACATTACCCTAACCCTACCCCTCACACCAGATACTGACTGGTTTTCGGACCCCCCCCAGACCCCCCAATAAAGCAAAAATGCACGTTTCAGAGTGGCCTTTTATTGTGGCCAGCCTAAGGCACACCTGTGCAATAATTATGCTGTCTAATCAGCATCGTGATATGCCACACCTGTGAGGTGGGATGGATTATCTCGGCAAAGGAGAAGTGCTCACTATCACAGATTTTTTCAGATTTGTGAACAATATTTGAGAGAAATGGTTATTTTGTGTATATAGAAATTGTTTTAGATCTTTGAGTTCATCTCATGAAAAATGGGAGCAAAAACAAAAGTGTTGCATTTATATTTTTGTTCAGTGTACTTTTGTGAGTGGAGGCAGCAGCAAAATGCATTTTAGCCACCTGAAAGATCAATATCAGTTTAAATGTAGCTATATTTTTGACCGCTTTACCTGGACGTATACAGCCCTTTCCAACAGGAAGCTATAGTTGTTATCTGTGCTCTCTTGACAGCCACTAGGCTCCATTGACAAAACCATACATTTAACAAGCAGTTCGTTTTTTGTGTTATTGTGTGACTTTGGTAAATCCGAAGGGACCCTTTCAGAACACCAAAGTTACACATTAATACTAACCGATCTAGGCAGCGGTAGAGCAGAAACTCTTGTATTTTATTTGAAGAACACTGTAGACGGGGGAAACAATGACTGTAGTGATTTCATTCTTGGACTGTCTTTGTTTACAGAAGATGGGCGGTTGAAGTACAAAGTTTGTTTTGAACAGAAGGGGAGAAGCCTGGTGTCCGGCCACCACATTGCCTTTGACACCATACCCGATCTGGAGCAGCTGTATGTCGGGGCCCGTGTGGTGGTCCGGTTTCCAGATCACAAGTTCCGGCCCGGAGTTTTGTCAGAGCTCCCCAGCAGAAAGAACCGCCTGAGGTGTGTGGTTTTATACCCATGTCCATGTCCCACCACTAAGCCTGTTCCAATAATTACGTTATCAATTCATGGACATAACCTCGTATTATATTTTATCATTTTCTTTCAACTTCCAATTCTGATATCTGGATATTCATAAGAATTAGACATTTATTGCTCTGCCAAAGTAAGTAGTTGTTTAAATGAAATATAATATTGTTTAATTCTTGAACAATCTATCGTCCAACAAAAGTAGTGACATGACACGCCTACTCCTCACAGAAAATCGAAATGCTTTAGTATATGTTTGATGTTAAACCAATTTTTTCTTTTCCAGGTTCTTGGTTTTCATAGATGATCACACGCCGCTCTATCTTGGTTTACCTTCATTTCACCTGGTGTGCAGACCATGTAAGTCTTGCTGTTTTCACACTCTTTTATTCGATTTTTCTTTTATTTGGGGCAATGTGTCGTGGGAGAATAGCATCTATTAAGCACTATCAAAAGAGTACCTTGTTTATTATGCATACTGACCATCTTTTTTGGATGAAATACCAACTAGGGGTATTCTGTTTTTGGGAAAAGTTCTAAATATAAAAATATACATATTGTTTGCTTTATTTTGTAAACAAAGCATAACATAATTTGACCAATACTGATGTCCATATCAAGTACACATGGTTCCTTCACAACACTTGACTACACAAGTGCACATGCTCGTCCGATAATTAATTTAGAATGCAACAAAAGTATTGTGCAAAAACATCACAGTGAGCATATTCATTAAAAGTGACATGGCCACAGTTGCATGCATTTGAAGCATGGCTGCATAAAGAATATTGGCACCTATTGAGATGCAGTTATAACTAGCACTAACTAAACCATACGCTTCCTTAATAAGAGTGATTCATTGTTTTCCTTACAGTGGATGATATTTTAGAGGACATTCCCGACGACCCTCACAAGGCCTTCATGGCGCGGTACCTGAAGGACTGGCCGTACCCACATTTAACGCAGTTCAAGGCTGGACAGATGCTCAATGTGCAGTTAAATGGAGTCTATCAGAGGAGTGAGGTGCAGGCGGTCGACTGCAGTGTGATGCAGGTCCTATTTCAGGTCAGCACCATTCACAAAGCTGCGTTTTTTTTAACTATTGTTATTAATCGACACATATTTTTTTTATTTCTATGAAATAATGTATTTTTCTTTGTCACTGTCAGGATACTCAAGTAAGGGAGTGGATCCATCGAGGCTCCATCCGACTTCAACACATGGCTAGATTTTTGGACATAAATACAGTGGAAGAGCAAGATTATGATTCTGATTAAAAACCCAAAGACACAGGAATAATTATAATGTGGATCGGACGAGCCCCCCATTAGTTACAAGCTGGCTCCTTCTTGCAACAAAAGTTAAGGTCACAAATAACAAAATGGAAACTGAGGAGGGCTGGTTTGGTGCACGGGGCAGCGAGAGAGCAGGGGACTCATCTGCAGCGCTCTTTACCAGGCTGGAGCCACAGGGGGGCCTCATCTCTCCTGATTACAGGACCCAACATCGTCTCCAGGTTCTCTGCAAGAAAAAACTAAAACACAGCACCATACAATGGACAACCACAGGGTTGTCACAACCCTAAAAGAATAATTGCTATTATTTAATGCTGGTATATTCTACTCACGCATGGCAACTATTCTTTTAAAAAAAAAAAAATTAAAACAAATAAGTGCAAAAACGGAATAATAGTACATTTCCTTTTGTCCAGAAATGTTGCAACTCTGGTGTACTGAATGTACTATTTTGAGTACATTTTAATGTATATAATACATTAGAAAATAGCCGTTCTGCATAATAAGTGATTTTACTATTGGTTCTTTCAGTATACTTTGATGCTTATACTTTTGTATTTTCACTTAAGTAACATTTTCAATACAGAATTTATACTTGCAGCAGAGCAATGTTCAACTTTTGAAGCTTCTGAAGCTTTCGGTGGAAGCGTCAGCCAATCAAATCATATGCCAGTACAAGCTCTAGCCAATCAAACTGCTGCTTGTGTGTCAGGGGCGGGAGATTCATGTGATTGGTTGTTGGTCGAGCTTCCCACACGCCCAGCTCCAAGCTTTTTTGAAGCTGTAGTGTGGACGGGCCATAAACGTAAACGTTAGAGCTCAGCCAAGTTATTCGTTTTAATACAAGACAGTAAATGAGTTTTTGTTAATTCATTATTTGAAGCAATATTTGTTGTAACGTATTGAAAAGGTGAGATGTTCGCAGGTGTTGATAAATTCCAGCGAAATAGGGAATAACATTGTTCTTAATCCTTCAGTTGTATGATTTCTTTCTTTATTTAGGGACTTCAACAACAGTAATTCCTACGAGTCAAAATGTACATAAACTTATTCAAAATGTGTTCAACTGATTAATGTTTACATTTAAAGATAAGCATAAACACTTTTTGTCCCGATATTGTATGGGTGAAGGTACACTCTGAACAGATGAGTTTGAGGCTATGATGAAAGATTTTCTGATTTCCAATATGGAGTTTGTTACATTGTTGTTGAACCTAAACATCCAGCAGATTTTTAGAGAACCCTAGAACAGTCAGTGACTCTTTATTCATTGACATCTTTGTTATATTCTTTGTTTTGCTCATGTAGTGCTTTCATTTTCTCAACATTTTAGAAGTTGCATATGTTTTTTTGCTTTCTTTTGTTTTATTTAAAAATGTTAGGTTGAAAATATGTACATTGTATACTAGCTTGACTCAGCTTCCAATTCAGAGATTAATAAAAAATAATCTTCAACTTTGTTTTTTGTTCCCTTTGTGTGCCTGATTGTCTGACATATCACTTATTCTAGCTACTGTGCAGCTACCTCCACATATTTGCGACATATTTTATGACATTTTAAGGGAGGCAAATGTGGCTGAGTAGAAAGGCGTAACAAAATGCCAACATGCTTGACAGAAGAGCTGTAACAAAACACTCAAACAAGTAAAAAAGGAGTGGAGAGAGAAAATAAAGAGTTCTATTTAAACACTAAAAGATCATTTGCTTGTTGAAATAATCGTAAACCGCAAGAAATCTCCAACTGTATGACCAGGCGTATTAATATGGGTCTGCAAAGTGTTACGCCCCACCCTTAAAATGGCCCGATGGGGCTAACAAAATTCCACCACTGACCCAAATAGAACACGAAAGACACCTTTTAAAATCATCGAATCCATAGGATTTATTATAACCAACACATCAAATGTTTAAGTAGGCATCCTAGGATGAGAGGCAGAAACACAGCAGTCCCCACACCAGAGGCCTCTCTCTTCTAGCAGTAGCGTGGGGTGGGGAAAAATGTAGGGGAAGCCAATGTTTTTGGGTCGGGGGGGGGTGGTCAATAACGTAACCAGATGAGTGATTACAGCGCCCGGTAACATTTTACACACATTTGTATCATACAGATGCAGGACTTGTACACGCCTGTTATCTAAGCGACAGGTCCGCATGCACTCTCCAGCTGAAACTCTCTCGTCTTATTAATTAAGCATTTTCTTATTAATTTAAGCATTTTCTTATTAATTTATGCCAACCTCCCCCCACCAATGCAATACCAGCCGCTCAATGCGCAGTGCAGATTCGGTAATTAATAAATAAGAAGCATTCATTCACAAACTAAATCAGGAGACCTTTAAAGTTTTACGTTCACATCAAAGTATCAGTATGCGTTGTGTTGATAATGGACGAGACCCGCCGAGTCAGCGTAAAGTTGAGACGATCTCTGTTTAATGTCTGAATCTGATAACAGATAAAATGATCAGTTTTACATACATTTCCCTCAGTGACTCCTCTCATTGATTGGAACGTTTACAAAAAGGGAAGAGGAAACGTGAGGGACACAATATATACAAAAAGTAAAATCACAAAGAAAGGAAATGAAAGTCCTCACAACAATAAACTCCTGAGCACAGCTCTCCGACCTTGCCAGGTATTTAACATTCAATAAAATGAAGAACACAGAATACAATAATATAAAACACAGAATGTGTGTGATTATACAAAATTAAATTAAATAAACCCCACTGCATATTTACATCTGTTACACTAACACACACTGCAAGTGCAGCAACAGTCCTCGTCTCTGTAATTAGTTCAGTCCGTAGTCCAAAAGTAACACAAAAATATAAACAATCTCATCTATTCAGGTGATCGGGCCCTATATGGCATGCTATCTGCGGTGCTGATTTTCGGATAGCAGCACCCTGTGCTAATTAAACAACTGCAATAAAACAACTACTTCAGACTGAACACCTGCAGCTAAATCCAGGCAAGCAATGCACAATAACCAACAGAACCACATCAGAAATTGCACACATAGCTACACGGGCAGTTCAGGCAACAGGTATGCACAGAGAGAAAGGGGTGTGCATTTCACTCACCCTATTTGAAGAGGAAGGCCATTCTCCTGTCTTTCATGGTAGCGAAGTGGTCAATAACAATGTCATAGAACTTCCCAGCGGCCTTTAGGTCCTCCACAACAACAGAGTCAATGGATATTGTGGCTAGGTTGACAAGTCTGTCCTGTCCACACGTGTTCCTCAGATACGTTTTGATCCTTTTTAGACAGGAAAAGGAGCGCTCTGCTGATGTGCTGGTGGCTGGTATCGTGAGCATGAGCTGGAGCAGCTTGTAGACCTCGGAGAGTGTTCCCTGTAGGTCATCCTCAATAAGAAGCTGTATCAGCTCTCCTGGTGGCTTGTGAGACAACCTGTTGTTGTACAGCGTGTGCAGCTCATTCCTTAACTTCTGCTCATCAAAGAATGGATACGTGTTGATCAGCTGAGCCAGCTCACTGCTGGGAAATGCATCAGGGTTGCAGAACGATGTGAATGATGTGTGTTCCAGTATCCGAAAAAAAGTGCAGGTGCTCCATATCTGCAAATCTTTGGGTCATGTGCAACACTATGCCGTCAACAATCTGGAAGTAAAGACGCCGGAAAGACACAACCGTTTCCTCGTCTCCTTCTTGGTGCTGGTTAAACCCTTGCTCCAGGTCGTCCCAGCCGCGGGCGACGTCGTTTACGTCGGGGCACAGGATCGCCGACTGCTTTGACCGTGTCATCGTAAATGCGACTGAACTGTCTCATCTGTTCTTGTGGCTTTGAGAGCGCTGAGAGTGCTCATGATCCGATCCTGGCATTTTTTTATGTCCGCCGTCTTGCTTTGCAGAACCTGGAAGAGTGGTTCTGTGAGGCCGAAAATGGACTGAAAGACCCCGAGCAGGGAAGGTGAAGTCAAAAATCCTCAAGTTTTTGCTTCAAGGAAGCACTCTGTGCAATGGTCTCTTTGTCCCATCCCGGCTCTGTCATTATCCTGTCAAAAGCGATACAGAGCGACCCGCGTCCTTCATGGATGGCGTGTACTGCGCGGCTTTTAAAATTCCACCTCACAGCAGAACCCCCTGGTACACGCACAGCTCGATCAACTTCAGACAGTAGTGCTGATCTCTTACATGAACGTGAGAGAAAAAATTGTGGAAGGCATCGAGATTGGCAAAAAACAGTTTGGCTGCTTGGATGTTGTTTGTGCCTTGTGCTAAAACCAAATTAATTTGTGAGCATAGCAGTGGATGAATAGCGCATTGGGGCAGTGTGCTTTCACTAAAGCCTGAACGCCACCGTGCTGTCCACTCATGCAGCTTGCTCCGTCATAAGTCTGACAAATCAGTTTGTTTGTTGGGCTGTAGTTCCCGATGGCTCTCATGACAACTGATGTTACAGCTTTTGCATCTCTTTCTAAGCTGACATCAAAAAAGCCGAGGAAACGTTCACACACACTGCCTTTTTCATTCACATATCTGATTATGATAGTGAGTTGGCACTTATTGGAGATGTCTGATGTGTCATCCACTTGTACAGCAATGAAAGGAGAAATGTGTATTTCTTTATCAGTCTCATCCTGGATACAACGAGCTATATGCTCTCAATTATGTCATTTTGTATGGTGTTTGACATACCACTGAAGACTGTTGACGATCCCAAGTGCTCCGCGAGTGCAGTGTCAAACTCTGCAAATGCACGTACCAGCTCTACAAAATTGCCCCTGTTAGAGCTGCCAGCGGCCTCATTGTGTCCCCTGAATGCTTGCTCTTGACGTGCAAGGTACAGGGCAGCAATGATGAGTTTCCTCAGAATATCCCGGTTCTTTTTTACTTGTTCGTTGTGCTTCTTTGTGCTAATGGTTCTTGCTACATCCAGAGCCTCGTCAATCCTGACGCGTCCAAAAAGCTTTAATTTCACAGCACAATCTATATGATTTTTAGATTTACCGTCCCTCTCAATTGCCCGTGACAGGTTGGCAAGGTCGATGAATCCTGAAGTTGCCCAAGGATTGTTCAGGGAGCACGAACCCTTGTCAAAAAGAAGACATGGCCAGCAAAATAGACGCTGAAGTTTAGCGCTTCCAGTTAGCCACTCCGTGCGGACATAATTGTCCTCATTGAACGTCCGATTAGATCCCTTATTCCTCTGTGTACACAGCTCGAGTGTGGGCGTTGTCCTGTCATCTGCTTTAATTTTTAGTTGCTGCTGTAGCGGAAGTTTAGTGAAGTTATGCTTAATTAAGTACGCCAAATCTCCACCCTCCATAATGCTTCATTTGCTTGATCATTTCTAACGGCGGTGATGACAGTTACAGTATTCAAATTGATGTTGATGTGATTGGATGGCAGTGTCCAATCAAATCGCCAGCCGCCAGCCGCCCCTGAAGGGAAGCTAGAGGCGGCTGGCTTCCCCTGGCATGGCCCTGACCAATCACAGGTTGGCAGGGGCATCACGTGGGCCTCATCTGATTGGTTAATCCCTCAATTTTTTTTCACCAAGGGAAGCTAGATTCTGCTGGCCTCCTCTCGCAACAGTGAATGCAATCTACTGTTTCACCATGACATCTAGAGGGGCGCTGTTTCACTCTTTGTAAAATACTCAATGAGAATGGGGGAGAGACGGAGAGACGGTCCGGCAGGAACACACAGGAAAGTAGAATTACAGAAACAAAACAAAGTGTTTTTATTTATTTATTTAAGTTATAACTACAATCCGAAAAAACAGGGGAAGCCTGGCTTCCCTTGGCCTCCGGGAGAAAACGCCACTGTCTTCTAGTGAAGTTACGTATTGCGCCGAGGCTTCGGAGCGTGTGTCGAGTAATCCCGAAGCTTTTTGTGAAGCATGTATCGAGGCTTGTATCGTTTTGGGCCAGTGACGTCATCGATAACAAACGAAGCCTCGCTGCCTGTCGATACCACGTGACTGCTTCACGAAGCGATTCAGATCGGTTGAACCGTTGAACCACAACGCTCATAATACCAATGGATGTATAATAAGAACCATATTACCCCTCCTGTACCCGGGTCCGCTGGTGACACGATGGAATTAAAAGAGCTCAGACCCTCACTTATATAGAGGTCGGAACATGTCCTACGTATAAATGGATACAAGCATAAATAAATGTAGGAATAAAAACATGAATAAGTAAATGAATAAATATCGTCCAGTGTTTTCAGGGGGATTTAGTGTGTGTGCTGTGGCTCAGTTGGAAAGCAGTTGACTCACGACCGCAGGGTCCCTGGTTCAACGACTGAACAATACGTATTTGTTGTTGTTTATAAAAGCTACAGCTAAATGAGACAATGTAGTTAATAAATGTATTCTTTTATATGGTTTAGCCTTTCTCAGGCTACAACATGGTTAAGTTTATGAATATTATTAAGGAATACAAATCCCTCTTTGCAATGTTTACCAGCATCCTTAGGCTTTTCAATCAC